CCTATTAATCCCCAACACTTTCCCTCTCCTTGGAATATTCATTTTCAGTCTTTTCAAACGATTTGGGCTCTTACCGGACCTTACCATTTAAATATATTTTCAGCCCTGGGCAATTGTTCGTTATGTTAATGTATTATGTAAAACTAAACGGTGCAATTATTGGAGAAGTTCTTTAATGTAGCGTTAAGTTGTTAAATGTTTAATAAATGTTTAATCTAAGGTGTTTGGAAACGGCAACGAGTTACAACTCGGGACAGAGTTATTGAAGATTTTCCATGTCGAGTTCTTACTTGATTCCGAGGTTTATTATGCCGTATACGCTCCAATAGCTTATATTATTTAATTTTCATCACAACGAATAAAGATTTTATCCACAAGACTGCATACACATGAAGAATAATATGGGGAAATGCGCTCTTATCACTATTGAGCTTAATTTTTCATCTATTATCATATGCGACAAATTTTTATGTGCACTGCAAAGTTAGAAAAGTTTTGTTTGATTTTCAAGAAAATTAAACTTATAAGTTAATTTTTAATGGTTAGGGTATTAAATTCAGGGCTTCGCACGGCATGATAGAATAAAATTTTTCCATTTTTTTTTTAATTATTATCAGTACGTTTACGATATAATTTATATTGTGTTTACGTCCTTTCCAATGAAACGATCGTTCATTTAATTATTAATTGCAATAATCTAGACACGAATGCGTTTCATACTTTTTATATAAGCGTTAAATAATTTATCTTGTTTGACAATCTTTAAATTATATTCCTATCGAGATTTATTTTTTATTTTATTTTTATTTTTATACTGAAATTTTTTAACGGTATACCTTTTATTTACATTTAAAATTCTTGTATAACGGTTTTTCTCCCACTTCTCCTTTTCTTTCCTCCCCCCCCCCCCCCCCCCCTCACGCCTTTTTTTTTATCTTCCTGTTTCATTTTACGTTCTTGTCAATCAAATTTTCTTTTCTTTTTTACTTTGGGGTTTAGTTCATCTTCTTACGCAAGCATTTAGCTTCCTTCACCTCTTCTAAACTTTCTCTCTTTACACGTACATTTCATGCGTCAAGAAGTCTCGTATATCCTTAAGTATTTAATCAGGGAAAATATGAAAGCAATTTTTTTTCTCTACTGTAATTGATGTGATCTTTCAGTTTGTAAAATATTTATTCCGACAATTATTCGGATAAATAAAATATCAGTCTTTTTCTTTTAAGAATTCTTCATTTAAGCTAATTTTCTTATACGATTCATAATAATAAGCGTACAAAGTAAATGTAAAAAGCGTTAATGCCAAAAATATATAAAATAAACAAATCAAAACCTATGGGTTTTTGGTAATCATGATGGAGCATTGTAATTACTTTAAATTCTTAATTAAATAGAAAATTGTATCAGTATTAATATTCCCAATATAAGCTCTATTATTTTTGTTGCTTATCCTTATTTCCATTAGACCGGAAAGTAAATAGTTTTTTAAGGATGACGTTTTTTTAAGGAGATAGAACCTTGGGGCCGCATAGTTCTCGACGAAAAAATCGTTCAGCAATACGTACGATTTGTACAATAATCTAAATCCCTCATAAATCTCTGTGAAGAACGCATAATTCGTACGACTTCAACGATTTAGAAAACTAACGGTACAAATAAGACAAGCGTACAGTTTTTCTTCTTCTTTTTACATAAGCAATCTATGCAATACAAAAGATTTGGCTGGGCGAGTGAGTAAGAAGGCGCATCGACCATACATCATCCCATAAAAATCATTGACATGTCCTGCGATCGAGTAGACGGGCATTCTCGAGTGCAAACAATCGTTTTCATTCTCCCTTACCTCCTTCTCCTCCTTCATCATCACCACCACCAACAACCACCACCTCCCCCCTCCTCCTACTCCTCCTCATCCTCGTGCTTCTACTCCTCCTTCTCTATCGAAAGAAGCCGCCATTATCATTTTCTTTTCCGGGGCTGGGGGCCGCAAAAAAGGCCCACAAAAAAGGTGGAAGCCGGAGAAAGGAAGGGGCGCGTCGCGTCCAGGTGCGGCTCACAAACGGAGGGAAATCCGTGGCGACGTGCCCCCGTTCACCTACGCGCCGTCCATGCCTGCACCTTCACCTCGATCGACGTTATCGCGAGCGACGTGGCCCGACGACGATGTCGCAACAGCATGGAATTCGACCGGGGGGCAAGTTCAGCTGCACTGATTGGCCGTGGAATTTTGGTGTCTTGTCAGATGCAGCAGTGCCTGCTTCACCCGGGATTTTTTACTCATCTCGTGTCCTCGTGGTTTGAGCTGCATTTTGTTGTTTAACGAAAAGGTTCTCACAGCGCTTATGCCTCGCTTTTTTTATATCAACTCGGGCGATTATTGTCTTAACAAAGTACAAGGATATGATCACTCGATAAAAAATTCGAGCCTATTGTTATTCATTATATAGAAATAGTATTGAAAAACTGCTCTCTCTCTCTCTCTCTCTCTCTCTCTCTCTCTCTCTCTCGTCATCAGTATTTTATTCTAACAGTAATATATCTGTTTTTCAGAAAGTAACATTAACTTATAGATGACCAATATTATCCTTCCTTCGCTTCGATTTGTATACAAAGTGAGGAAGTATCAAATACACGAAACGTCCTGCTAATAGAATACGTACGAAAAACTCTTAACCCAAGCCAAGAATAAAAACTTTGCTCGAAATAATAGAATAGGAGTGCAGGGGCTACAACTTTTTGGGCGGCAGCGAAAAATCGTAACGCGAACCGAGTTCGGCCTTCTTTTGCCCCTTGCGAAACGCGTCACGCATTTTTCCGCCTCCCAGAGTACGCGTTTCAACATTTGTCAGGTTAAGAAAGGTAAGGCGGAGGAGGAGAAGGCGTAGATCGGGATTATTTGTCGCTGTCCGCTTGTAAAGAGATTGATGATGCTTTGCGTTCCGGCGACTTTCCGTCGGTGACACGCTGGAGAATTGCCATGTAGTGGTGAGCATTGGAGCTTACGAGAATATCGAAGAAAAATGTAGTTTTCTGTTGTTGAGAGGAATGCGTTTTTCAAAATTGGTATTTGCGTAAAACGTTCTTTAACATTGAAAATGCTTTACTCGTTTGGAATCAATGAGCTGATCAAAGTCCACGATCCGGCTGTTTGAATATTTTTTGTCGTTTCTTAAAATTCGTTTCCTCATTATGGCGAATTTATTATAAAAAATAATCTATTTGGAAAGTATTGAATTTTAGTATTATATTGTGAGTATTATATTTTTTTATATAATTCGATATACTCGATTGACGCACTCTGATTTGCGTTTAATATAATTAAACATTAATACAAAACATTTCAAAAGAAGACATAGAATTTACGAAAAGTTCATCGGCACTTTAACCTTAATTTATTCGTCTGACGATATTTTAATTCTTTTATTTTTGTTCGTTTTCGTTTATTTTATTGTATATATCGCGTATATATATATATATATATATATATATACAAGAGCAATTTGAAACAGACTTACTAGTAAATATATATATATATATATATTGTATTTGATAAATGATAGAATGAAGCCGATGATTTCACAGCTACATATTAGTAAAAAAAAGAATTAGTATTTAATAGATTTTGAATTAAAGAATGAAAACATTTCAATGTAATCAATCATATCTTGGGCAAGTAAAATGAATTAATGTTACAAACAGTGTATCACAAGTATGTTAATAAACTTGATAGTCTACTTTTGAATTGCAATTTACAGATCCTTAATTAATTTTAAATTATTACTTTAAGAACTTTAACCATAAGAAATTATAATTGAGTTATAATTTAATTATATGAATCATTTATATTAACCGACATGCATTCTGTTGTATTATTCAAGCGTTATAAATGGCACGAGTACTTTAATTTTACGTATACGAAAATCATTTTAATATTTATTTGATTTATTTTTAAATCCAGTTATTAGTATTATTTATTTTAATTTTTTATTTTAATGATTATATTATTGTAATTCTTACAGTAAATGTTATGTTAAATTCCGGGGTATAGACAGAATTTTAATTGTAAAATTATTTATGCAATAGTGAAAGTAAAAATGTTAAATAATTTTAATTTAATAAGATTACAAAATACTTATGAGCGTAAGTTAAGAATAATAAAAAGAAAAAAGGAATAACGTCGAATGTCAATATTGTTGTAGAATAAAAAAACATGTATATCGGTCAAAACATTTTATGGCCTCTTATGATTATAACAGTGGCTGCTTACATAATCCAGTATACTAATGTCTGCCGTACTTTTGATAAATATTATTGATAATTAGTTTATTTATATGTTTTAACTAGTTTTATCTATAAAATCATTAACAAAATTCGAGTAGCATTATTATTACTATTCCTCTTTTTCTTCATCTTCTTCTTCGTATTATTATTATTATTATTATTATTATTATTATTATTATTGTTGTTGTTGTTGTTGTTGTTGTTATGATTATTTTCCTATATTATCGTTGCGTTTTCGTAAATTTTTCTTCTAATTTATTTATTTACC